GTGTATGTTCTTTTGTGTTTTTTTTTTTTTTTTTTTTTTTCCATTGTGTACTACCGGTTGTCCAAGGCTCGGCAATAAAGTCCGAGGCTCGACAATGACCGGGCTACCGGTAGCGTGACCCACGGGCCTTGAAAACCGGTAGGTACTGGTGGTTTAAGGAGAGCCTCTTGGGCGGCAATACTTGTGGCTTTGGCTGCTGCTTCTGCCTCCTTCTCTCTGTATATCGCGTCTTCATAAAGTTTCTGAAAGAAAGGTTTCTCATTCTCCGCCGCTGCGTCCAGCATGGCCTGCCATTGGGCTGATGAGATGTCTGCCATGCTGGAGGATGGGGTGTCAGTAGATCTCTCAAGAGGGGTCCGCACTTCGCTCACGTTTGGACGAACACCCCTCTTAGGCTCTTACCCCTCCTCACAGTCTAAAAAAGAATACCTTCTCTCTCCCTTCTCTTTCTCTCCGCTTTCTGCGCATGCGTCTCAATGTTGGACATAGGTAGTGCAAATAAAAGAAAACAAATAAATCACAAAGAGCAGACGACAGAACTCCTAGCCGGAACGGCAATTCATTTGGACTTAGAGAATGACATTCACGCAGCAGAATAGAAAATAAAAACAAATGAAAGAGAGGACTGACTTAATGAACGGGCCCGATCAGATTAGTTGGAGATCTCCTCTTGTCTAACCTGACAAGGAACATGTACCACAAATAAGTCAGCCGAAGAAAACTAACTGCAGCAAGGGAGATTTCGAGGGGTGCAGACGGTCGCCGAGCCAGACGTGGGGCAGTGTGTGAGAACATGCAGTAAGACCAGTCAAGGTCCCCTTGAAAGGAATGTCCTTACTAGCCGTGTGTCCCCCAAATTCAGCACAGCAAAGAGATGCACAGACAGCAACAGATTTGGGTCCTAAAGGTCCTGTCCCATCGGGCCTGGTCCCACTGAGTCCCGAAGGGTCCCAAGTAGGTCGTGGATCAGGACCAATGAGAAAGGTGTACCAGGTCAGTCCCAAACTGCCTCTACCGTACTAGAAAGGAAAAGACAACATTCAGCAAGAACCTACCCCTACAGCCGTTCAGAAGTGAAAAGACAATGCACTGTAGAAAGATATGTCATCGAGAACAAGATACATCATCCATCCATCCATCAGGTGAGAAAGCAGTCCACATGCTCACACACACAACCAAGACCGCAGAGAAAGAGGAGGAGAGTCCAGCACACCCCAACGGGCCATGAAGCACCAAGCAACCACCCATGAGCATACCTAAGTCACACAACACTTACCTGTGACGCCCAGCCTCCAAAGATGGATAACGACTCACCCCCCTCTCTCATAGGTCCTCCTGACCCCTAGCTACCACTACACGAAGTGTCCTAGCATGACTAAGAGGGCCTCCCTACACCCCTGTTACAACGCCGGATCCCCGTCGATGTTGAAGACCAAAGTAGCAACTTGCAGCTCTTCGATGCAGATATGGCAGCCTCCGATCAAATCTCCCTCTTGAGGGGAAGCCCAAAAGTTAATGTCTTCTTGAAGTCCAGATTCCAGGTGCGGGTACCTCTCACTCTCTACTCCCTCTCGCTTACTCCAATCAGCCTCCTTTGTGTCTCGCCACCCCATTCAATCACTCAAGCAACCTGGTCAGGTCTTAACCAGGTGGGGGCAGCATCCACATACCTCACTGCCCCTCTTAACCCTAACCTCCAACCCTAATCCGAGATTAGGTTAACCCTAACCTAATTCTAAATTAGGGTTAGGGTGACTAACACCTCTCGCCAGCAAGTAAGTCCGCTCTGATACCAACTATTACAATCCTGGTCATTCCCAAAGTGCATATTCACAATGAAAGACAATGCCGCCCAATTGCGAAAGAAATGGAAGCACTTGCAAAGAGATAGAGACCAAAGACGAGAGAAAGAAGAAGAAGAAGAAGAAGAAGAAGAAGAAGAAAATGTACACCAGCAAGACCAATGACAAATCCCCCTTCTCTCTCCACCTTCCTCCTCCTCCTTCACTTCGCCAATCTTATTCTTCTTCCAATAATAATAATAACAATGAGTGGATGAACCAGAATCAATATCCGAAGTTCCCTATTACTGCTGACACAACAATAGGTCCACCATAGCCATGGCTTCCCCCCTTCTTTCTCCCCTCACATGCCTAGGCTATGGCAGACTACTAAGGGCCCTGCCCTCCTGTCCAAAGGACAACCCAAAGCAGCTATGGCGCTGCACTCCTGTCCAAAGGACAACGCAAAGCAGCTATGCCGCTGCTCACTAAGCCTCCATGCCTGACTCTGCCTCGAGCCTCCTTGGTGTGGCACTACCCCAACTGGGGCCTTCCAGATGCAGCGCCCAACAAGGTAATGAAGATGGTGTCCACCATAGCCAGGTATGTGCCTCGCCACTCTCCTCCTTCACCCCTTTCTTCCTCCTCCTCAGGCTGGGCTGCTCACAATAGCCAGGCTGAGCGCCCAGCTACGCTCCTTCTCCAGGCAGCGCTCCCAAGCCCAGCGCTTGGCTCCAGCAGTATGTCGCCAATCCTTGCACACCGCAAATGAGAAGGCGCTGCTTGCTCCTCCTGAAGATATAGTGGCCTACTGGCCTCTTGGGCGGTGACTTCCTAGGCCGATCGGCCTCCCAGCAACTGGTACCTCCTCCCTCTTGGAGGGAAACATCATTGCAGGCCCTGCTATCTTGAAGATATAGTGGCCTACTGGCCTCTTGGGCAGTGACTTCCTAAGCCGAGCGGCCTCCCAGCAACTGGTACCTCCTCCCTTTTGGAGGGAAACATCATTGCAGGCGCCAGGTCCAACCATGCACAGACGAAGAGGAGGGGATTAGACGAAGAGGAGGGGAGAGATGGGAATGTCGTCAACACCAAGTCTCGTTACAAGTCCCAAATAAACCCTCGGCAAAATGTCTGAAGTCCAATGTCGAGTCTTGATCCACATGTCACCAAGCTCTCTCTCTCTCTCTCTCTCTCTCTCTCTCATAGTCTGCTAATGTAGTGAAGTCAGATATCGAGAGGGTGAGAGGGAGATGGTGGACTGAGAAGAGGAAGAAGAAGAACTCTCTCTCTTTCATATGCCAGGTACTAACCTGTGAAGGTGACACTATGCTGCAGGTACCTTGAAGACGAAGCTGGAGCGATGGCGCTGCAGGTAAGTCCCCCTGGCCTCCGCTCAATCTCTCTCTCTAGGGTACTACTCTAGCTATGGCGCCCAGCGTTGAAGACTACTGCTAACGCTACAAAGCGCCCAGCGCTGAAGACGACCGCTAGCGCTAATACTACTACTGCAGCGCTCCTCCAGAGTGCTGCTGCCGAATCTTGAAGACTACGTCCTGCCTCCTGAACTGCACGTGAAGTGCCTGGGAAGTACCTATGAACTACCTACCTCCTGCAGGGCGGGCCAGTCCTATATAGTGCTGGCCCGTCCAGGAGGCTGCTCTTGCCAATGCCTCAACGTGCCAGACCCTGGGGTTGAAGCTCAAATAAAGGTTGTCTTGAAAATAGGCCAGAAATGGCCTGAGCTAAAACCCTGGTCTGGTGCCTGAATTTCGGGGCAGGCCAAACTCATGAGGGCCCGGAAATGGCCCTCAGTTTCAGGCTGAAAACACTCTGGCCGGAAAGGCCCTGATTTAGCCTGCAACGACACAGGGCCTGTAGGCCCTCATTTTCAAGCTTTCAGGCTTAAATGACACAGGGCCTGTAGGCCCTTGTTTTCAGGCTTTTGGCCTGACAACGTCACGGGCCTGGAATAGGCCCGTGCAGCCTGTTGCAGGCGCAACATGTAACACCCCCCCCTCCTTATGAAGTCAAGCCGGGGCGAGGGCGAAGCTGACAATCTGAAGGTGGAACGTGGATGCGGGTGCGACGTGGAGCCGAAGATACCGGCTTGCCTTGCATCTTTCGTTCGTAGCGTGCGAGAACATCCGGAGATGTGGCTTGGAGTTCCGCACGGGTTAACCAACGGTCAGCTTTGTGACTGCAATATGCAAAATGTACCAAGTACTCAGTTGGCCTATTGTCGTAGCGTCGTTGGGAGATGATGTCGCCGACCTCTTGAAAACCATCCATAGAGGATGGGTCTCGCGATCGTCGCCCGGGAAAATCGTCACGTTCCTCTGGCGTGTAAAGAGCCAATTTGGAGCAATGAAAGACTGGGTAGATGGGCAAGTGGGCGGGCACCTGAATGGTGAAGGAAGGTCCCTCAGGTTCATCCCAAGCAGGTGCCAAGATCGGCCAAGGCCCCATCCATTTCGGGAGGAGCTTGCGAGAGATATCTTGTTCAAGGCTGAATTCCGCGGCGGAACCCAAACGAGATCACCGACGCGGTGTGAGGATACCCGGGGAGGGGCTCCTGCTGTTCGTTGTAGCCAAGGGCCACGGCGCCTGTCACTCGTCGCGCCCGCTTCCGAGGTCTTCAGCGATCTGCAGGGTGAGAAGAGGTCGTAACGCCCGTTGATCATGCGTCACCACAAAACCTCGTTCATTATGACTAACAAATGCAGCAACAAGTGAAAATAAAACTCTTTCCATCGTGGTCAGCAAATACATCAGCAGATGAATACAAGGTCCAATAAAACTCTTACTGTGATCAGCGAAAATAACGGGAAGTGAAATCATGGCCCTTTTACTGTGATCAGCGTGCACAACAGCGAGTGAAAACAATGCCCTTTCATATGAGGACTGGGGAGTTAACACTCGTCGATTCAGACCTCTTTCATGATGACTTGTACAAGCACACACACCTCGGAGTGCTGTCAGGAAACATACAGTGGTCTTTTTTTTGTCTATTGAACAATAATAATTAATGTTTTCATAAATGAGTAATCATCGGCCTACTCACTGGCCTTTCCGCGAGCAAGCCCTCACCGTTTGGCTTCGAAGTGTGTGAGTATGCAGAAAAGATCGTGTCAGCCTTTGAGCGCTGCTCGAATGACCGTTTGGAAAGGACCTTTAGAGTATGCTTCCACTGTTGCCCACTCATCCGCTCTCACACAGCCTGTTTCAGAAGCTAAACTATCCAATAATGAGAAAATAATTTAAAACAAAACCCGATTTGAAAGCCCACGCTAGCCTGTTCAATTACAGTGTAGCCAGTAGTCGTTTGAGAAGGCCGCTCGTAGCGCTGACCAGTTGACTTTTGTCCTCAACCGAGAGAGGTTCATGCTTCATCCGCATCTCGTTTTCACGGTCTCTCTCTTTCTGTAGTGTTTCTCTCAGTCATTCTCAGCGCAGAGTCTCCCTCTCTCTCCTTTCTCTCTCTTTTCTCTCTGTATGTGTGCTGCCTGTCTCTCCCTCTCTCTGTCACCTCTTTGCGTGAACAGTCTCACTCTCCTCTTTCTCTTCCTGAGCAGTGTCATCAAGGTGGCAGTTCACGTTATAGGTGGAAACGGTCARCACCATTCAACTGAAGCTACAACTCTCATCAGATCGGGAACGATATGGCCGATCTCCTCAACGAGGAGATACCAAGTTTCAGACATATCAAAAGAAAAGAAAGAGATATGCATCCGTCCAAGGTGGTAATTGCTGACCTCATTAGTAAAAAGCAACAAGCCTCATACCCACCGCGTATGAACATGGCATGTACCCGCTCGTAGCAGAAATGCCTGATCCCATCAATGTAAAGCAGCGAGTCTCGTTTCCACTGGGTGTATAGGTGGCGTGTGCCTGCTCGCAGCGGGAATGGCCGATCACGTCAGCGTAAAGCCACAAGTCTCGTTTCCACCGGGTGTACAAGTGGCATGTACCTGCTCGCAGGAGAAACGGCTGATCACCGAACTGAGCCTCCTGCCCGAGCAGCGGGAAAGCGCAATTAGTCGATCGGGGAGCTGTTCTCGCGAGCGACCGAAACGCCTGACTAGCTGAAAGGCAGATCTAGGGGCCAGCGCTTTCACTAATCACTCTCATTGCCACTCCCGATCATGCCCGATCGCTTAAAATCAGTCCTACCGCACCTGGCCTTCATTCGAGTCCCACCAGCGAGCTCATGACGAAGGCACCGRCATTCAGACTCAACTSGGCTGATAAAACCYCGTYTGTAGTACAAGGGGYGTCAGTTCACTSCCCCTCAATGYCCCTRTCACCACGTCGCCTATCGCTGTGCACGCCGCGCCTTCGAAGCCCCTTTCACCCTCTGTCTTACTGTTACTTCCCCTCTCTTGTTGACTTTCACGCCTGTTTCACTGCTCCGCAGCTCTCGCCTCATATTTGGATGCACCTGGTCGTTTCCAGAGCCAGGTGCATTAATCAAAATAAATAAGTAT